TAGTTGCTTCTTCTAGTAACCATGGTTTGAGCAAGATATAAGGGAAAGATGTGCAATTGAAATTTACTGGCAAGATTTTTGTTTCACAATTCATTAAATTAAAAATGGCAGATTTGTTCTTTCTCATATCTCAGACCAATTACAAGTACAAAAACAACTACAACATTAAAGTTGTAGTGTCTATTTAGGAACTATTTGACACGTTTGCTAGTCTGAAATGTACAATTCAAATATCACTGCTAATCAGTGAACCCAAATGCTTGTGAACATTTCACCCTCCTATTTGGTGTGTATTTGACCAACAATTAACATTTGTTCCAACACTAATTGAAACAAGAATTCCCCCTCAGAATTTTAGACTATCAAATATTATCTATAGTATCCCAAACTATAAATGCTCTCAAAGCAGTTGTAGAGTTTCAAGTCAGAAATTTACTGGCAGTCACATTTGTGATAAATCCTCTGAATGTACAGTATCATGTAACCATACATGTACTTCGTTTTGATTCAATCTTTCATCTACAGCACATTAAAGCGTGATATACATTGCTATGAATCCCATAGCAAACAGGACGCGGCACAACGACTGCCACCCTTTAACCACATGATGGCAATACTACCAAACAAAACATTTTAATTATCCCGGTCTTACTTTTTGATCAGTGCTGAGACTAGGCTAACCACCTGACGTGTTCTGGTTATACACGTATATTGATAATTTAAATATTCCTTATAGTAAATGAAGGTCTTGGTGTCAACTTTTTCTTGTGGTTGCAATAACTCAGTTTCTGACTCCTGTGCGCGAAGCACACAATGGGAGTCTTTGCATTTAGTGCGTCTGTATGCATGTGTGTAAAGAGCCACTTACATAGATAATCTGGGCTGATATGCAGATTTGATTAACTTTTGGTTGAAACCATGCATAATGATTATACAATTTTTGGCTACTAATATTTCAATGAAACTTTGTACATGGATGTCATAGTTAAAGTCTGCACATTAAATACCTAATTTGCGGCGTTTCTGCTGATATTCCAAGTACTTATCATTCTGTTTCAATGAACTTGGTACATAAATGCTCTAGGACTATGCACAGACCCGATTAGTTTGGGTTATAAATCTGTGCACATTAATCACCTAATTTGCATAATTAGACAAATTTCTGTTTTTACACTTGTATCCGATGGAGTACTAATCTAACCACTTCAGTAAAACTTGGTACTTGATAGACTGACATTGCACAGACCTTATTAATTGCCAAGCTTCTTCTTTGAAAGGCTAATTTTTAATTATCTTTAATACGTCTCAGCACACCAGAGTTTTTTCTAGGCGTTCTTAGATTTAAAAAAAAAAAAAAACTGCCTATAAAGATGCAAGTTTAAACAAGAGACCTGACCGTTGAATTAGCTCTGTTGTTTTTAGCAGAGCCTTGCAAGAGCATGCATAATTACATAAACATCATAGTGGGGAGACATGACCATGACTTTGTTTAAATTCTATTATAAATGTTTATCTGATAAGGATGAATTTAATAGTACCCAAGTAGAGGATTCATCAACTCTGGTTGAAATGTTCAGCTGTGAATTAGTGTTCCCTAAATATAACAAAAGGACTAAGCTCATACTAAAAGACTAATAAGAAGTCAAAAATGACTAAAAAATTTGCTTAAATTAGAGACACAAAGCATTTTTTTAAAGGTAGAAACCTAGTCATAATTTTTGACAAACTTGGTCATAAATCGCATGACAATGTTCATTAGTTTATTATGTACAATCATGAAACTAACGTCTCATGGTACAATGAAATAGCATTATTTTGTGTGTTACAGTTGTGCTTTTTGAGAAACGTGTTCTAATATTTCTTGAAAATTGCTATTTTTAGAACAATTCCATAGAACACAATGTTAAAGAAAAATTGCATTTTTTGACACTTTAAAACCCAGATTTTTTTAAATAATTCAGAACAAAATGTACTCTATTAACAATGTTTTTTTCAGGCTAGATTTTGAGATATTGCATAATATCTCTGCCATAAGAACCTATGGTAAAAGCGTTATAGTGTCAAAACAGCGACTTTCCACTAAAATACAACCATCAATTTCTCAAAAAAAAAGGCTGGTGACCCAGCCAACTTTTTTTAGATCAATAACCATAAGTAGAATTTATTGCAAAATGAATAAATTCTGGGTTTTTTAATTTATGAGTTGGCTTCTACCTTAATCCAAAAATATGTAAAATTGAAGATATAACATTCTAGAAGTTGAAAATAAAATTGTTGCCAGACTGACAATCACTTGTCTCAGTTCTGCCACAAGTTACAGTGTCCTAATAATTCTCGACTACTGTACCTCAATTATCTTATAACTAAATAATGTTCACATATTACCAAATACAATTTTGTAATGTGCCGAAAACTTTTCACCAAAGTAACTAATGGTAAACGATGCAAAAAATCACCATTTTCATGGATTTGAGTTTTGAGCACAATTTGGCTTTATTTTATGCTGTTTACAAAACTGCATGGTCACAAAAGTGTAATCAAGGAAATTTCATCATTTATTTTGTTAGCTAAAAATGGCACTACTACCAACCCTCCAAACCATGCATCATTCCTAAATTCTTCTTGTCCCATTCACATTGGTGATTGCTACCGGTAATGTCAGATAATACAATATTTTACAGTTTATAAACGGCTCAACATGTATTGCCATCTTGTTTCTTGCATCTTTAAAGTTTTATATCATATTATAGAACAATGTAATTGTCATTAATCATTTGATGCATCAATCTAGAGTATATGCATCATACATGCCAAAAATGCAGATTATGGTTTTTTTTAGCTCCACTGTCGACCAGAGCTTATCATACTTATTTGTTCACTTCATGATTTCTTTAATTCTCTAATTTTGGTGAATGTTTTTGTCATTTTTGGTAAAAAATTGATATTTTCGACTTGTTAAAAACTACAAGTCTGATTGTTTTGATACTATACATATAGGTACCTCGAGTAGACCCCTCTCAGATTTGTTTATTTAGTGATGATATTCAATTATCTTTGTCATTTTTTATAACAGCCTGTCGGCTGAAATAGCTCCGCTGTTAGCAATGCATATTACATATCATTTGAAAATGAACAATATGTATAGTATCAAAGCAATCAGACTTGCAGTTTTCAACAAGAATTCGAAAATATCACTTTTCACCCAAAATGATAAAAATATTCATTAAAATTATAGAAATAAAGATATCATCACGAAATGAACAAATCTGAGAGGTCCACATGTAGTGCCTATATATGTAATATCAAAGTAATCGGTCCTGCAGTTTTCAACAAGAATTCAAAAATATCACTTTTCACCAAAAATGATAAAAATATTCATTAAAATTATAGAAATAAAGATATCATCACAAAATGAACAAATCTGAGAGAGGTCTACCCAAGGTACACCAAGTATCAAAGCATTCAGGCTTGTAGTTTTCAAGAAGTCGAAAAAGTAAACATTGACACAGACGACGACGGACAGTCACTCGTATGATAAGCTCCGCTCGACAAAGTCGACAGCGGAGCTAAAAAGTGATATTTTTGAATTCTTGTTGAACAGCAAGTCCGATTTAATACTTTACATATTGTTCATTTTCTAATGGTATCTTGTGTTCTTTAATTGAAATGTGCATTGCTAACAGTGGAGCTATCTCAGTCGACAGACTGCTTGTTATTGACCATTCACTCATATGATAAGCTCCGCTCGACAGCAGAGCTAATAAATCTGTCTTACATTTTGTTCATTTCAACCAAACAAGAAGACACAATTATGAGATCTAGAGTATGTGTTTATTTTTGAAGAGAAGAGCATACACACTTATATACGAGTAAATCTAGATGAACCACGTTAAAGTCTCTCATTTTCAAGCTAGCCACGAACCAAGACCTTCAAAAGTCAAAATGTTAGAATTCCATTATGTAAGAAATTCTTAACTTGAACAGCTCCTTAGAACCAGATACAGTGACATCATCCTATTGGATGCTTCCAAAAAAATCCATTATTCAAACTAAATTTTCATGGGACCATATTGAAGCAATCACAGTCGCCATCAGCTAATCAAATCATAGCAAGCAAAAAATGAATGGTTCACAATATATATATATTTAAATGAAAAAACTAAAATTCACAATTGACATTCACCAGGGTTTTTTTTGTATCACTACAAGTAAAAACCGAAAATGGTATTAAATAAATATTTTTTTTTTAATTTGGATTTTATATTTCCTTACACACAAGGAGCAAGTATTCCTCTCATTTCGGTAATCCAAGTCTATCTACATTGAGGTAAAAAGAAGAAAACGCCAATCAACACAAACAAATACACTATTATACTTTAAATTCTTATGATATATATCATATATATATATATATCTTGAAACGAAAATGTTATATTCAAAGTAGTGTGCTTTCACTGGCACTCAAGTACACATACTGGTTTCATGAAAATATCAGTTTTTATACACAAAGACAGGGTGAATAGAAAAACAAGTGTTTGGCTTGAAGTACAGTTTCCTCGGTCACAACAGCAAATGTTTTCAGTAATACAAGGAACAATTAACTATGAATTTAAACATTGGAATTATTATAACTTTCAAACTCAATCAATTCCTATTCACCTTATTTTGACAAGAATGATCACACCAGATCTAATTCTAAGCTAAGTAAATATTGTTATGACTGAACCTCATGATTTACTGCTAATTTACTTAAAGGTTCAGTGTTCATATCAATTGGTCTGTCTGACTGTTCTATTTCCATTGGTTCAATGACCATTGATTTAACAATGTTCTCCACTATTGCAGCACATGTGTTTGCACCCCCACCACCACCACCACCTTCTTCAACTACAAGAGGCTCAGGTGATTTGTCACTCAGTGAAGAAGTTACAGAAATAATGTCTTCTAAATCCTTCTCCATTATGACATCAGTCTCATTGTGATTTTCTTTCTCTTCATCCTTTTGACCAGCTGATTCCACTGAGGAATCACTCTTATTTTCTTTTGCGAGAAGCTTGGCTTTCTCACGCGCTGCCTGTCTGTTCTTACGTCGTGTACAGGTTTTACAGATATAGTCATCTTTTTGTGCTTGCTCTTCTGAAAGTCCTATGCACACGAGATGGAACCAGAGTTCACAACCACCATCACACTGAACCCAGTTAATATCATCTCCAGTAGGCTGTTTACATACTTTAGCAGAACATGACTCATCCTCTTCATCGTCATCATCATCATCGTCATCATTATCACCATTTGAATGCTTTTCTTTGTCTCCCTTTGGTTTATTCCTTTCCTTAGCTTCGTTAGTTGCTACAAATAAAAATTCAAATTACATATAACAGTAATCTTACATTGAATATTGTACACAAAAATAAATCATACTGGCATTTATAAATCCTGACATGACTTACTCTTTCTCCTTTTTTTCTTTTCTTTGACCTTATCTCCTTCTTCAGCATTATTTTTCTCACTTGCATCTTTATTTGCTCTTTTCTTTTTCTTTTTTTCTGGCACCTTATCTATCTCAGTAAGATTAACAATAACACCATCACCATTGTCTTCATCACCAGCAGCAACACTACCACTACCATCACCACCAGCACTATCATCAGCTACAATCTTTTTCCTCTTTCTTTTTTTCTCACCCAACTTTAGTTTGGCTGGTTTCTCTTCACTGTCTTCAATTAATGGCTAATAACAAGGAAAAATTGTGATTTCAATAAATGTGATCAATCACCAATCACAATATGCATTTTGGTAGCACTTGTTCATTCAACAGTGGGATATTATAGGTGTGGCAACATAGAGAACTGCTTTGCCATGTTAGTTCAGCTAACCAGTCGTGCTTTAACAGCTGCCTTATGTTTTGTTTTGCTATCGTATAAAAGACTATTAACACAATTACAGTGTGAGAACGTCGAGCTAAGATAGCTACCAATGTCATTAAGTATTAAATTATTTTGTTACACAAAAGACAATAAGTCGGTACTCGCCTCTCCAGAACAGAATTGTTCCAAAAATTTTTCTTCATGCTGAGGCTGACATGCTTGAAGTATTCTCCAGATGTGCTGGGTTTCATCCAATGAGACTTCAAGGAGGTCTCCTTCCATCATGAGGTCTTCTAGTTGAGCCTTTGCCATCTCAGATAACTCTAAAACAGGTGGATCTAGTGATCTAGTAACATGAGGAGTTTTACGAGATTGTTTACGTGGTGTTGTTGGGGTTTGTGAGTTTTTAGAAGCAAAGCTATATGCATGTTCAGAACTGAGCGCTACTGGTGGCTGCTGTGAATCAACAACAATTTCTTCTTGTTCCATGATTGATGTAGTTTGCTCATCAATTGAGAGTGATAGAGGAGGTGGAGATGGAACAATATCAAGAGCTGTCTCGTCACTAAAATGTGATTTGTGTAGAACATCAGGATTGGTTGGAACTGGCGGCATACCATGTAATATAGATGAAGGGTGTACTGGGGAATCACCACCACTGAATGCATTATGTGTTACACTCTGAAGATGCTCTTGCAAGTCTGGGTTATTTGCTGCCTTTTTCAATTCGGCACTTATTATTTTCTCAGTCTTTTCACGGGCTGCTTGTTCTACCATTCTCTGACTCAACACAGACAACTTGGCTAGTGCTGATGCTAGTTCTTCAGTAGCTAGAGCTTGCCTTGCACGGTCTTGCCAACTCATTGCCCTTTCCGTCAGACACTGAAGAGCCTCACCCTCAGGAAGCCTGACAGGTAATTTTTGTAGAGAAACTAGCAGTGAGAGGATAGTTTCTAATCTTGGACGCCTTGATCTTAAACACAAGGGACATAAGAATTTTAGATCTCGTGATGATTGCATTGGATTGGTTGTTCCCTGACCATTTTTTTTGCTACTGCTAGATTTTGGTAATGTGACACATGTGTTGTGAAACCAATCTTTACAAAGTTCACACTGGAGCATATATCCAGACACATTTTTACGACAAATACAGTATTTGCCTTGTTCCTCTTCATTTTCTTCCAGTTGTTGTTTGTGTAGATTTTTGTCACGCAGCATTCTCATTGCATCAATCTCACAACGTTCAGATTCTTTAAAAGATGCAACCTGCATGACAAAAGAAAAATATAATTTAATTGTAATCAATACTTGAGGAAACATAGTTAAACTACACACAGCTAGCCCTGTATATGCATTTGCTAGCAGATCATAGCATAGGGGTGGCACAGATCACAGCATAAAACGTAGATCACTGCATATGGTCAGAAAAATATAGCAAAGATTGGGGAAGATCATCTACACATATAGATTAACTTTTGATATCAATCACCAAATTTGAATACGAAAAAGTCTTAAAGGAAACAAGTGTATATTATGTACAGCAACACAGAAACGTGTTGAAGTTATCCATGATGTTCATTTAAGTTGAATGACATGACCCTTATATTCACAAAGTCAACACTATTGTTAATTTGTTTTTCATAAACTTCAACAAACTTCCCCAACCAACCTGATTAGATTATTTAAATACTAGAAATCATAACTGTACATTCCTTCCTATTGAGCTGAATGGTTTAGCCCTAATTAATACCAGCACTGTCCCTTTAATATGGTAAAACAAGCAAACCATTTTAGTAGATAGTGGTTATTAAACTCATTGAAAAACAAATTATAAACTCATTATTCAAGAAATCAAATGGCATGACAAATATTTAATATACATGTCAAAACCTGAAACATTTAACATATTGAAACACTGACAAGTGTGGCAACATAGAGAACTGCTTTGCCATGTTAGTTCAGCTAACCAGTCGTGCTTTAACAGCTGCCTTGTGTTTATTTTGCTATCGTATAAAAGACTATTAACACAATTGCAATGTGAAATGTCGAGCTAAGATAGCTTCCAACAACTGTAAGGTAATGATTGGAAGAAAAGTACCTAGAAACTCAATTATGGTATTAAAAATAATTGTCTTTTCATGAGTACAAATTAATAGCCTACAATTAAAAATAGAAGCTGGTGATACTTTCTTTTCATGTTCACTGTTGCGATCTATAGCAAATGCCAGTAGTTAACAGGATCAAACCTACAACCGCCCTGATGTAAAGCCAACACGCTAACCATAATATCATACCCCAGATAGATTATATATTACAACACAGTCTGTTTCAAATCAACCAGCCAATGATTCTGTTGTCAATGCCATATTATTCAGACAGTGAGTGATAATATATTTCAACTTACAATTGCAGCTGGATCACGTGAATCTTCAACTTTAGTCTCAGTAGTATTGCTATTTTCCTTTTCTTTGTCAGAATCTCTACTCTTCTTCCTCCTACTCTTTCCTGTTGAATATATGCCAATGTCTGATCGTGGTGATAGCACCTGCAAAAAATATAATATTGCAGATTAGACAAAATACTTAGGTGCATACAAAATAGGTAGAACACCAGCCTTGACATTTCAGTAGATAACAAAATTTACACTTGCCTCGACTAAAGCATATTGTGAGTTTTTCTTAAGGAAGGTCCTTCCTGTGCGTTCTCGCCATGACCTTGCTGACGCTACTTGAGATTCTACTTGAGGTAACTGCTCTAGTCGCACTGGTATTGGTCTTCCTTTCACTACTAAACTTTCCAGTATATCTAAATATGGGTAGTGTTCAGCATTCTGCAAATAAAACAATACAATTCATTAAATTACTTCAAAAAACAGTGCCCTAGAACAGAGTCTCTGTTAGAAAAGGTTTCTCCCAATAACCCTGAGAATAAACTGAATGCTATTCATAAAATTCATTCATTAGATACATTTCAGTGACTTGCAATAGTATACATACTGTGTCATTCTTCACTAATAAGGAGTACATACCTGAATTCCTTCAACTTTTGCAGTCCATTCTTTGGCTTTCTTTAAAGCTTCTTTTAATGCTAAAGTATTAGGTAGATAGGCAGGAATACTTTTAGCTTCAGTGGATTATTGCCTCCAAGGTAGCAATAACATAGCGCGGTCTACAGAAAAAATGAAATACATATTATCATACATTGAATCTATGACTATTTACAAACATAATGTTCCCACTAGTGTCAATACTGACCTGGCCTGAAGGCATATTTTTGCTTTTTCTTCCCATTTCTCACTGACTGTCAGTAACTCTTGTAGTTCTGCCATAGCTTTATCAACAGCAGGATGGGGTGCAAGACTAACTCCTGAGTCTATTAATTTACGTAATGCATCCAGTGTAACTTGATTAGGCACGGATAACGTACTCCTAACTTCATCCAACCACCGTGCTTGTTGTAATTCCTGTTATCAGAATACATGTGGAACTCGATAATATTAATTGTCATATTTATTGAGATTAATATTCACTTTTCCAAATGAAAAAAATTACAAGTTCAATCAACAGTTCACAGCAGAATACAAACATCTCACTGTGTTTTATTTAGCTTACCTGCTTCAGCTTGGGCATTTCTGGTAGTTCTACATCTAGACTGACACCAATATCTAACAATCTTTTCAACTTGACTGAATCTGGAGTGGTATCATCTAAAGCATCCTTAGCTTCAAGTTGAAAACTCTCAACCCGGTGCAGTAAATCCTATTAAATTAAAGAAGTGTCACTTAGTTAAATGAATTTGACACATATTAAAAATGACAATAATACAATATAGTATAAATGCAGAAAATCATTGCAATGTCAATCTGTCAATAGTTCTAAGTCATAATCATTTGGAGATTGGATAAACCTACTCGAATTAATTCTGCTTCTTTAATCTCACATGGTAAATCCATGACTTGTTGCATGAAACACTGTAGTTCTTCCAAAGTCAATCTGGCTGCAGCATTTTTAGTGTTGTCAGAAGAATTTCTAAATGTAAACAAAAAAGTTTGATCAAACATTGTGACGACACATCAATTATAGGATGGAAAGAGTAAATTCTGCAGTGCCAAAATAAACACAAAGAAAAGTCAATATAGCTGATGAGTGTGATCAGTGAGTATTTAACTAAGATTCACCACCGTTCCAGGTTCCTTGGCTTCATACATTGAGCAATTGGATGTATAATAAAGTTATTAGAAGGATTTGACAAAGCATGCACTCAGATGGACCACAGTTACAGCGCTTAATACCCCACTGTACAGTATAATTTTCATGTAGCCTGGAAATATGTTCATATATTACAATAGGAAGTACACCCACCTTGTTCTATGTTTCTTGCTCACTAGCTGCACAGCTACACTGGCACATCGTTCTGCTTCTCCTACTGATGATACTAAGTTTTGCAGTAATTCATTATCAGGAAATTTTCTCTCTTCAGCTTCTTGAATCATTTCTTTGAAATCAGTAACATCTGTGAAACAAATGAAAGAACAAAATAAATATTTTGGCAAGAGTATAAAAAAGAGTTGACCAACACAAATAAATTGAGTGAGGAAAACTAAGTAACACCACATGGATTGTTTTTATCCACAATATTAATATCTGTATATCTACACAGAAGACTACATTACATGTACTTGCCTGACTTGGAACCTTGTGGGGCTTCTAAAGCTTGTTTAACCCGATTAGCCCAATTATCAAATGATTCAGCTCTAACTTTCAATCTATGAAGCATGGCAGGCAGTTCATCCAACGTGTAGCGATATCTAGACCAATCACAAAATACAGACTATCGTTAGTAATGTGTCAGACATATTGACAAAATCATGAAATAGCTTTATGATCAAACAAAATTATTGAAAAACCCTAATTACAACCTTCAATGTTACATAATCCAGCAAATGTTTTACAGATTTTAATAACATCTCATTTATAAGTTTAAAAGTTTCTAATTTTTTTATTAATCCATTAAAAACAATTGTATCCCAATGAATGAATGAACATTCTACGCTCTTAATGACCCTGACATTGGTGAATAGTTGCAAATCATGGTGCGATAGTAGCCATTTTGTCTTTGTTTAAATTTCCAAGCGCAGCACAGAGATTACAGAGAATATAACAATTGCTTCTGCATGTACAAAGCCAATTAACGTAGATTCATTTGATAAACCTTTTTTCAGAAAGCTCTTCAGTGTGGTAATCATTTATTAAGTAGTTGTATCTCATCTGCTTTGTGCCAACCAATCACTGTGTACATGCTGTGCTTTGATGCATCTACCCTTCTTTATATGAATTTGTTCTTTTACATAATGTAACTTTTCATTCAGCAAAACATCAGGAATTTGTGGTACTTTTAAATTTTCTATAATAACTACTCACCTTAGGCAGTGTTTTGTAGGATGACAGGCACATAGTCTTTCTACATGGTGAATGCAGACCAGTTTATTGGGACTACATGAGCATGTAACAGCAGAAAGAAAGCAAGTAGTTTTACAGAAATCACATTGTCTTTCATCATCTGGCAGTAATTCAAATGCTTCTCTCTCAGCTTCAGTTGTACCCTGAAAATAAGTAATGAATCAATTTATACACAAGTCAATATCAATGGCAATCAACAGTTTGTATTTTGCTGAATTTTCAAACAGACAAATAAAAATAAAACCTTTATTGCTGCCAGATCCCAAAACAAACAAGTGTTGTTTATACAAAGTTTGAATGGCTGAGAAATGGATGAGAACATTTTAAAACTTTTTATGTAAAACAAAGGTTATCAGTCCTTGAAATATATTAAAAGCCAAAATAAAAATAACTGAAAAATATTATTCACATTACTATCTATTAGCTTTTGCGTCAAATTGAAACAAAATCAGTGAATTTGTAACTGCCAAGTATTAGTTTGTTTGCAATGAGGTTTTATCATACTTCACTTGATGGTTAACAACAATGAATAGCTATCACGGTCATCAAATGTCACCGTGTCATGTGTAACTTACCCTCTCAAGGAGTTTCTTTCTGAGTTTCTTTTCCTCGTCCACCATACTTAACATATCCTTGTGAACGGCAGCAGCAAGATTCAGATCTAAGCTATCTGGGTCAGCAGCCATCTTGCATACTAATTCTTCATGTGAAAACACACAAAATCTATGCAAATACCTGTAATGGGCAATGCACTCACGACCTACAGGAAGCTGAAAACACAACATCATGTAAATCCTACAAATCACATCCACAATCCGGCATGCGAAAAATTAAATCACTTGTTAATACACTGAAACCCATGATATATCAACGATACAATTCATCACTAAAATCTAACAGATTTTTTGCAATTGAAAATAATGAATGAGAAAAACAAGAATGTAATATAAATGAACAAAACACACAGAATGGGAGTCACTAGAGACTAGATAAATGACAATAAAAGAAAGCTTACCCAATCTGATGGACAGAAATTAACAGCTTCAGCAAAGTTATAGCCTTGATTAAAACCAGCATGATAAGATCTTGGGAAGGTGATTACAAATTCTCCAGCACATTGATTAGTACGTACAATCTGCAAAGACAACATTTATATAATTACAAATACTTGTCTTTAAAATTAAGATTTAAAATTAAGTGTTTATTTACTCTTATGTTTTAGTCTTTTGAGAATAATCAAAATATGGAAGGCACCTTCCTGAGAATGCAAAGAAAATTATTGCTGTATTTCTTTCACTTCTAAACTTCAGAGGCCGACACATTTGATCATCTACAAATACTAATGCATAGAAAGGCTTTCAACAATATGGTGATAATTGACAAAGTAGACAACATCACACTTACTGGAACTCCACGGTTCATAAGTATAGTAGGATTCATAATAGTCACCAACTGGTGGAGTAAATCAGGTTGGGCAGCAAATAACTCAGGTGCAACACTCTTCATGGCCGACTCAAACTGTTCAGCAGCTGGTCCTGGAACACCATACCAGGTTTTAGGCTCACCCCTGTAAAGCAGCACAACTCAAGTTATTTTTTGGGAAAACATAAATTCAAGAGGTAGGTCAAAATGCTGCGCGTTACGGAGCACATTCACCTGTAAGCTCATGTTTATTACATAACAAAAGGTAATTCAAATAAGTTCAGTCAATTAAATGTGCTTTTTTATATTTTTTAAGAGATTGCTTACCAGTGCATGTAATTAACAGAGTAACTCCAATGATCTTCGTTATGCCAACAGAAAGCTGAGAAACACATACCAACATAACACCATGGTATCTTCATACCAGATATATCAGCACTAATGTGACATAATACAGATCTGTCCAAAACTGGCAGGTTGTTGAGATTCCATCCTGAATTTGCATATACCTGAAAATCCATATTATGGATCATTAGATAGGTTTCACAACATACCAATTCTTTTACAGAGAAACATTCTAACTTGGACTTGATGAGGTTAACTTGAGGATAGTTTTGAATCTCAAAAATGAATGACAAGAATAGATTGTGGTGTAAACCAGATTACCTCATCTTCAGGTGTCAAAGAATCACTATTTTTTATCGGAAAGCCACTACTGAATTCCATCGAATGAATATCAGCACCATATTCTACAGCTACATCTTCCTCAATTGCACTGACTAAACGCCAGAACTCTTTCTCTACAGTTTCACAAGGCACCATCTGGATAGAAAAAATACAAATTGTTATTGCACATAACCAGCTGAATAACTTTTTCTCACAAACCTTGTATATATTTGCAAGGGTTATCAAAAAATGTACATCACATGAAAATGCACAAGCTTCAAGCAAGCTTTAAGTTCAGGCATGATCCCTAATTTGCATTATTTATGATGACTAGTTTGGTTATGAACATGTAACGGTGTTTACAACATACATCATTAGCATATCCATAATTCTTATTATTTCTTTTTTGAAAATTCAAGTTTGGCGATATCACCATGCTTAAAAGGATATAAATAGGTAACATCTAATGATAAATATGCATGTGATTAGTAATTAATACTACAATTACAAGATAAAGAGATATAATTAAGCAAGACTTACATGCACAGGCATGTTGAAGTAATTTGCCTTGAACTGATCAGCCATCTCTCCAAATGACTGCAATGTATACTCTTTTTGAGCTTGCTCAAAACCAAATGCTTCCTGTGGCTTACTGCATTCCTGAAATTAGAAGTTGTAAGATAATGTATGTATTAATGCACTAAAGAACAATCAGAAACTAAATCATTAAAGAAACTGTGTACAATAACAAATTAACAAGAGCTTTAAGAATTGAATAAGCACTTAAAAACTGGATCTCAAAAAATAGTTACAACACAAAGTTCTTGTATGATTCACAAATTACTACAATGGAAATGAGTCATCTGTGAACTGTAGGTTGTCTTGAAGAGTCTTTAAATTCAACAATTCAAAGGAACACGCTCCTATAATGTAAGTACCATTACAAATTGTTCAATTGTAAAACATGTTTTTTTCGCGAGCATGTCTTTTTAGCGAATTTAGCAAGAGAACTGATTCGCTAATTCGAGATGTCACGAATGACTTTATTATAAATTCAAAATGACCAAGGCTTGGGAATTTGTATACAGAAATCCGGAACATAAAAAATCTGGGGCGCTTCCTAATTACACTTGACAGTTTTTCTTTGTTTTTATGGAGATGATAACTGCGCATTTGTTTTGACACGTGACAGACAAGTATTGTGAAAAGGGGAATTCAACAATGACAAGACAATCACTAAATCAACATTTCGCTAAAACGTCATTTTACCGCAACTCGCTAAAATTGCATGTCGCTTTTTCAACATGTTTCACAGTATATTGACTCAATTATATGTAGATATATATCGATAGCAACATCTGAACGAACAACTTCAAATAAATCAAAACGTATCAATAGACTTGGTCCACTAATGTATCTACATGAAATGGGAAGTGACTTAGTATTTCACATGCAATGGAATCTGCTTACCTCAGCCACACATTTTGGACATCTCCAGTCCCCCTTTGGTACTTGAGATAATGGTGGTAGTAGACAGAATGTATGGTAACTATCATCACAGCCATCACATAATAATAAAAAATCTTCAGAATTTCCTTTGCCACAAGTATGACAAACGTACATGTCAATCTGGTATTAAACAAACAAAATACAAATTATTTAGAGTATTTCCCACAATAATTTGTCAGTTAAAACACACAATTACGAACTAAATTACTCACAAACTGTGCACTGAGAGCACCAGTTCTGTCTCTCATCTTCATTTTTGTTCCATAATGCATGTCATCTTTCCTGGGTGACTTCCCTTTAGACTTTGGTTCTTGATAATCTGGATCAATGTCTTTTTCGATCTTGATTCTTGATTTCTCATCAACTTCTTGCTTGACACCTTTGAAATCAAATACAAAGGATGCATTTGTTGAAATAGTCACCAACATTTTTGACAAAATGACTAACTGATGTCAAATAATCACACTTGTTTACATACATGACATACCTTGGTAGTTCTATTGATAGCTAATATTTGAGCTCACATATTGAAGTTTTAAAACATTCATTCACTGATTTATTAACTTCAATTTTTTTGAAAATGGCAATGCCTTTTTTTTCACAGGTATTTGGTGCAGGTCCATCTTATGAAAATTTGGCAATAATACATAAGCTCACCTTCTAGCCTCTTATCATTAGCCACTAATCCAAGACCTTGAAATTTGGGACCAGCACCATATAGCTGAAGTTTCTTCAGCTCTGGATTGGAGCTTATGTCAATATTCATAGATTCCTGTGAATTACCGGTACATAAGTTATTACAAAATAATATTTAAATATGTTATTTAATGGGGGTTAATTAGTCACCAAGTTGTTCAAACAAATTAATAGGTAAACAAATACTAGAATAACGATACATTGTAGGTGTATTCATAACTGTTGTAGAACTGAAATAATGTTGCATAGATTTTGTACAGGCATAACACTTGGTTTGGAAGATTTTTATCATCCATGAAATGTCTACATTTGATCTACTTCATAGGAATATACGACTATGTAAGCTCTATTTTTAGTAAGATCCTGTAATCATGAAGTAAAAAATTAAATTAATATAGCGCCATCAGTGTTCATAAATTATTTTGTACTTACATCTCCAGTTTCAATTTCATGTCTTTTTGCTCTGCGACCATAACAAGGATTTGTTGGCTTAATAGACTGTCTGATAGTAATACTATGTGGAACATATTCCTTTTCTTTTGTGTCTTCATCATGCTCTTCAGTTTGGTTAGGTCCAAAACCAGGCTACAAAAAAATAAATATAAATCTTTGTTTTAAGTGGAATTGAGATGAAAATAATTACATTGGGAAGACCTAAGAAAGTTTTTGTTATGAGTAACTTTATGTAGAAGTAATTGCAAATCATTAAACTTACATTAAGACTATCCAGTGTAGCACCGGCTTGGAAAATATCATACGGATATAAGATTCTCTCATAATGGCACCGTAACAATGATCCAGCACATCTTGCAGGAGGATATCCAAGCTGTCAAGTATATAACAGTACTGACTAAATTCTGTAGATCATGTACAGATGAGCTAGAAGTAACTCAGTAACACATTCTAGAATATAGTGCTATTATTACATGCTTGTTCTTGTTTTGGAAGGATTAAATTGGAAGGTGTAATTGATTTGTTGGTTAGAGTGAAATATTTGTGTTGTTAATATCTCATGTTCTGATGCAATATGGTAACTGCATTATAAATGTTCCTCCAGATGCAGTGAATATTCAGTGAATAATAAGCTTACAGAGTAAAGTTAACTTATAGTGACACTTACCCGAATGGCTATTTTAGACCATTTTCTTTCTTTAGTTGCAATCTCAAATCCACCTTCCTCGGCAACAACCTTACAAACAATGTTCAAAGAACAAAGTAAATGTGCGAATCAACAAAACATCACACAAGAAACTATTTTCTAGTTAAAGCTATGGCTGAATATGATTGGTAAACCATTCAACAAGTTAAGATGTATTTTGATCGATTAGATGGTCAGGTGCTTATGTTTGGCAGTAAATGTAAGCTACGACTGAACACATGTAAAAAATACATTTTTTAAATTTACCTTGCTTAGCAAATACAAGTCAAGTGTCTTTCTCTCCACAGTTGGGATCTTCAATTTGTATCCCTAAGAAAAGACGAACAGCATACAAATAAAACATCAATCAATATTTGTTGTAGACTATTTTATAATACCACATTGTGTTTAATATGAATCTCATGCAGACATACAATGAGTGCGTAAAATACATTGTTTACACAAAATTCAAGTAAAACTGACAATTTCAATCATCACAATGATTAAAAATTAGTTTCTGTGCAATGCCAAAATGAAGTGTTGTCATATTTGGCACTGATAAGACCTTTTTTATTATCAAATGTATGTTACTGCATTCATACTTCAATGATATACAGGTCCCTAATTGTAATATATTACTAAACTAACTTAAAATCAACTTGTTGATTACGAAAGTACACCGAGTATCTGCGAGAAATAAAAAATGTGAAATACTAATTACCTGTAGTTCCCAAAACTTGGCAATTTGATCTAGAAAGTTAAATTTGATCCTCGTCTTGGCCTGGATGAAAACAAATAGATTGTACACAAACATGCATTTAATCAATATTCAACAGTGATGGAATTAAACAAGAAATAGAATATAAAACAGTATGCATTCTAAACATCCATCAACAATCCTGATGCAGATGAACTGATCATCAATTGATCATGTCACTGTCAGTTAATGTAATCACAGTTCCAATACAGTGTATCTATAGTATGTAACTTCATGTAGCTACCCTAAATGTGGATAGTATGCATGTAACATCCCTGGATGTAGAGAGTATACATGTAACATCCCTGGATGTAGAGAGTATACATGTAACATCCCTGGATGTAGAGAGTATACATGTAACATTCCTGGATGTAGAGAGTATACATGTAACATTCCTGGATGTAGAGAGTATACATGTAACATCCCTGGATGTAGAGAGTATACATGTAACATCCCTGGATGTAGAGAGTATACATGTAACATCCCTGGATGTAGAGAGTATACATGTAACATTCCTGGATGTAGAGAGTATACATGTAACATTCCTGGATGTAGAGAGTATACATGTAACATCCCTGGATGTAGAGAGTATACATGTAACATCCCTGGATGTAGAGAGTATACATGTAACATCCCTGGATGTAGAGAGTATACATGTAACATCCCTGGATGTAGAGAGTATACATGTAACATCCCTGGATGTAGAGAGTATACATGTAACATCCCTGGATGTAGAGAGTATACATGTAACATCCCTGGATGTAGAGAGTTACAAATGTATACATCCAAGTACCCTGGATGTAGAAAGTATACAATTAACATCGCTGATGTACAGAGTTACGAATATATACATCTAAGTACCCTGGATGTAGAAAGTATACAATTAACATCGCTGATGTACAGAGTTACGAATGTATACATCTAAGTACCCTAGATATATAAAGTATACAATTAACATGTCTGATGTACAAAGTTACAAATGTTTACATCTAAGTACCCTGGATGTAGAAAGTATACAGTGTTCTCCCCAGAAATTTTTCATAGAGTCACGGCTAATTTGCATAATAATTAGCATATAATTAGCATAAATTAACATATTGTTTGTCATATGGAGAAATAAAACAAAACCAGTTTTTTTTCCCTTTTTTTCTATTTATTTTATGTACAATCTGTATACAATTATTGCACTGCATGTTTAGTATTACAAATGTCCTGCAGAAATACTGAGTTTTCTGTTCCTTTGCTTGGCCCAGCAATCAGCGACTTTATAAAACCCTGTTCAGTCCCGGTAAATTAAACATGGGGTTGATTATTCTCATTGCCTGTCTTCCGTTTCTGTTGTTTTCCGGTTAAGTACAACAACTGTTACGAGTCATGATACTTACGCTACTATGTTCGAGCAATAATAGTTTTTCTGGCTGAAATTATCCATCTTTATGTATTTTTTTTAATCATCGATGTTGTCTGTTCAACACAATTGTGAACAATTCGAGACAACGGAGGTCTGAATTACGAATTGTCGCCATTGTTATACCACGTAAAATTGAGGCTTTTCTTCCAAGAAATAACACAAGTGTCACTCCAATTTCCACACGTTTCTTGATTAGAATTCCCGATTTCTTGATAAATATATTATTTTCAATTATGCTT